CCTTCATTACTGTGCTATACATTTAAAAGAATGTCTTTTAATTTTATAGCTTATATTTATATATAAATACATTTACTTGTTTTCATTAATGTATTTTACAACTATACAAAGAGCAATGTGTAACATTTTACCAGATTTAGTCCTACACTTAATCACTTTTATTTGTTCCCCACTAAATAATGTTATTTCACTAAACGTTTAGATTTTATAAAATTGTGCACTCATGATTTTTCTAGAATAATGTTTGCTGCTAAATTATCCACTAACCTAGTTTATAATAGTATTTTTGTCATAGATTATGATTATATATTTTTTCAATTGTTATTTCTCATTAAAATGAAGTTGTCTATATTTAGTACTGTTTAACACACACAAGAGTGACAATCAGGTCAACACAAAGTATAGAAATTCTACATTGATTTAAAAAAAAAAAAAAACTGCACTGGTATCGGATCGGAATCGGACGATACTCAGAATTTTCTGGATCGGATCGGATAAAATTTTATCGATGCATCCATAAAATGAATAGCATCACTACTACAACCGCCCCAGTGATAACATTATACCATTTCTGCAAAATTCAGTGTAAAGCCATCCAAACACACAGAACTTCCATTGCCTTAAAATATAAATAAATTAATTAGATTTTTAAATTAATTAAAAAAAAATTGCTATAAAGTAGTAGCAATTGCTGAATCACAGAAACAGACAGACAGACAGACAGACTGATAGACAGACAGACAGATAGACAGATAGACAGATAGACAGACAGACAGATAGACAGATAGACAGATAGAGGGTTTTACGATTCGATTACGATTATCATGTCAACTCAACGATTCAATTCGATATCACGATGGATCACGATTATAGCAAATTTATTTTGTGCATTTTTATTAAATTATATAAGACGGCTACTTTTAAATATAATTACAAATTAATAAAAAAAAAAAAAAAAAGTGTTAAGAATTTAACCAACTAAATATAGCTTCAAAACATACAAGCAAATATAAAGTCATAGGGGGAACAAGACAATTACAAGTGATAAACAAAAAGTACTTTCAGTATCTGAGAGTGCTTTAAGTATCCGAAAGTTTACAGTAGGGCTGTGCGATTAATCGAAATCGTCATAAAATCGCGATTTCAAAATCGCTTTATAGCATGATTTTCCGCGCCCCCGTCCTCCCGCAGTATGCTATCCGAACCAATCAGAATGCAGCGGCCTAAATGGAGCACGAGAAACAAACCCAAAGCGCATGTGAAAGTCTGTCAGTGCGCAAAGTTTCGTGCATCTAATACGTACTGCATTCCAAACGGCAGAAATGAAAGCATATCTATAAGTAAAACACTGAAATAACGGCAGATGGAAGCACAAGTCAAGCAATGCACACGTCTCAACGCGCATATTCTGTGCAATGAAGCCCGCCGCGACTGTCTAGCACACACATGTGCCACTATAAGCTTGTTTTTTTCCAAAAATGTGCCCAGATCTCGAATTTAAAAATAGTGGGTGCATTTTTTATACTGGCGTGACAAGCGCGTATGCGAATGACGTCAGTAGGCTATAATCGATTACAGTCTATTGCTGCTTCGATGCAGAATCGTCCACGTCTGCAATGCAATGATTAATTTCAACACCCGGACGGACGAATGTCTGGATTCACTGCATTAATGAGAAAGTTATTAATTTAGTGTTTGTTTGTTTTTTTTTGTGAAAATGAGAAATGTTGCAATGGCAACTAGCTGATTTTTTTTTTTTTAATTAAAATATTTTTATTTTATAAAATAACATTTTTATTAAAATCTATTTTTTATGGTTTTGTTTAACTTTAATATCCCTGCTTAGAAATTACTTACTTATGAATTATATTATCAGATTTTTTTTCTCAATTTGACATGGTATCAACATAATTCCAACAAAGTTACATTACTGACTCTGCTTATATGCTATATGTAATTAAATTTCATTTTAAAGTTAAGTAATTTCATTTAGTTTATTTATTTTGTAAATATTTGAAAATGTACATTTTATTATTATTAAAAATTAAATAGTCAAAAAATTTAATAAAATATTTGTAAATTATTATTAATAAATACAAATTTATAATATAATATAATATAATATAATAACCATTTCTGCACAGTATTGTGAATTGAACGAGTTGAATTGTGAACGAGTAAAACATTCACTGCATTAATGAGAAATCACAATTCTGGGGTGAAATGTGACCTGGACCTGTTTTAATGAGATTCACCCACTTAAATGCGAGTTAATGACCTACTGGCAGTCTTTCTCAATCTCAATTCTTCAAAATTCTTCACCTAGGATGCCTCGAGGGTGAGTAAAACACAGGCTAATCTTCATTTTTGGGTGAACTAACCCTTTCATTCTACATATTCACAAAAACATAGCATTAGATTAGAGCAGATCTTTGACATGATGGCCCAACAGCAACACTTGTGAAGGTGAGCTTGGTCGGTAATGTTTTAAAAGTGAGCTTAATGAAGGTCAAATGCCTTTTCTATAGGCTTTAACACACTACTGACCTCAGTGCAGATGCATCTGTAAGTCACGCTCACATTGCAGCAGCTCAGTGCATTACCTTCAGTCTCTTCCACTCTAATCAATACTGAAGTCGTGCCGATGAGGGAACATCAGCGGACTGACGGGATCCAAACCATGCCATACTGTCTAACTAGTTAACTGTTAGTCCAGCACATCAAAATATGGAACAGGAAGATGATGAATAGAGATGGGAATTGTTCCGGTCTAACTGGTTTCTTAATGCTTCCATTAGAGATTCTTTTAGTAATTTTGTGTAAGAAACCTACAGATAATCTTTACAAAGATGTGTTTGCAAAAACTTTTAATGACTTTTCACTGACATAAACATACAAAGTACCTTTAAAATTGGTGCAATCTATAAAAATACTAAAACAACCAATGTGAGCAACACATTAGATTAATATAATGTGCATCTTTAAGTGAAAGTGAAAGTGAAGTGACGTGTGGTGACCTATACTCAGAATTTGTGCCAAGTGCCCGCAACCTTCGGGTTGCAAGTGCAACGGTCTAATCATTAGGCCACAACTGCCCCAACTGTTCTGGATTCACTAAAAAGAACTAAACGACTCATTAGAATCATTCATTTGGGGTTCAGTCTACATTGGTCACGTACATAAGTTTCATGCTATAAATTCAGTATCAGTGAAACATGGCAAAAAATAATTATGCGTTGTTCAATAAGTGAGGCAGATTATTTTGTAACTTGACATTGATTCAGGAGGTTTGGGTTCACTAAAAATAAATAATTGACTAATTTAGGGCTCAGTTTACACTGTCTGCTATATGTTTCATGCTATAGATTCAGTAGCAGTGAAACATGATTAAAATAATAAAGTGCAGTTCAATAAGCGAGTCAGATTAATTCAGTAACCGTTCTGGCTGATTCAAGTGCTTTTGATTCACTAAAAAGAACCGAGCAACTAATAAGATTCATTCAGTTGTGATTCAGTCTGCACTGGTCGCTATACGTTTAATGCTAAAGATTCAGTATAAGTGAAACATGATTAAAATAATATGTAGTTCAATAAGTGAGTCAGATTAATTTAATAACTGTTCTGGGCTGCATTTCACAAAAGAATCGTAAGCTTAAGTTGATTCAAGTGCTTTTGATTCACTAAAAGGAACTAAGTGACTCATAAGAATCATTCTTTTAGGGTCACTATATCATATGCTCCATGCTATAGATTCAGTAGCAGTCTTGGACTTAACAGTATTTTAAGTATTTGGTACTAAAATTTAAAATTGAGAACCAATGAACGGCATGAAAATCATTTAGTTCTGGTACTATTAACAACTTCCTTCTGTAACATTTTTAAATGAATTTTTAGTAAATATGCAGCTGATAATATGAAGTCGTACATACAATTTCCTTCAAATGCATAACAGATCTCACTTCCGCTAGGGTTCCCAGCTTCCCACACGGCGAGCCGCAGATCGTCACAAACTCTCTCAGTCTCCAGAAGGATTGGTGGCACTGCCAAAGAGTGAAGTACCCAGCCTGCTCTGCTCCGCTGGCTATCCTGTGGCTCTCAGCCTGACGGGGCATCAGCAGACACGCCACAGATGTTCATTAACATCACACAAACGGCCCTGACAATCTGC